TGACCATTTCACAGAGCTAAGAAGCCAGAATTCATCCCATTTGACGCTTTAGGCTTAAATTTTTGAAAATTACTATGTGCAATAACTCAATTGTCAGTCCGGAAATTTCTGATCCGACCGCAAAGTTCGGCACGCCATCGGGAATTAACGAATTAATATCGGGGAATAATTAGAGTGGGTGTAGTGATAGAAAACCCACAGACAGAAGACCCAAGGACAGAATACCCAAAGACAGAATACCCACAGATAAAAGACCCACAAGGATAAATTTTTACTAAAAGTTTAGAAAAACTAGATTAGATTTCGGTCCGCAAAAGTCGGTCCGCAAGTTTTGGCCTGCCGGCAAGACGCTTGTGTAAAATTTCCCGCTTCGCGCGGGGTTTTGCGGCACGCGTCTCGCGGGATGTGAACGGTCTTTTATTTTTTAGTTTCATATTTCTAGAAAAAAAAAACCGAAAATTTCTTAGAGTAAATCGATGATGCTCTATGGGTTGGCAACAAAACGTACAAAATTTTGGCTTATAGTTTGATAGGTTCCCTTGCCAGACGACTTAATAAAATACATATAATAGAGTATAAACGAGAATTTTTCTTTTAATCAAAGTTTTATTTTTAAGCATTTGCTGGAAATTATGGAATTAATTTTATCATCGTCGGAATATTAGTTACTTTGGTTATAAATAAGATAATCATTTGAATTGGACAATTTGTTAATGGTTTAATAGATTGAGAACTAATAAAGAACTTGAGATAAATAATTATCTAAATAAATATCTTTTTTTAATTAACGAAATCCTGTCCTTATTATGAACCAAATGTAATTTTTAATAATTAAAAACAATTATTATCTTACAATATGTTACAAAAGTAGGGTTGCGAGTAGGGTTGTTCCCCGTCCCCGAAAGTCGGGGTCTACAGAAATCCCTTTAACCCCCCCCCCCCCCCCCCCCGATATCCTTCCTAAACTCCCTTAATATTCACTATCCATATATATCCCAATAAAATACAAATCCTCCGATATCGCTATTAACCACCTCAAATCCTCGGTATCTATGTACATTGATCCCTTTATATATCTTTAATCTTCCGAATACACTCTTAATCACTTCGAATCCTTCTATATCCCTCCATGGAGACTCAACTGAGGAGACACAACAATTAATCAATTAAAAATTTTATGGGGGAGGGGGCTTATTTTAGAAGGGGGGCTTATTTTTTTCGATCGACCTCTAGAGGGGGCTTATTTTAGAGGGGGGGGGGCTTATTTTGGAGAGTGGCCTATTTTAGAGGATTTACGGTTATTTGCAATAATATCATTGTTTAAGCATTTTTATTGACTATATTTGACAAAGAATTAAATCTAAGAGATGAGTATACTCGAAACAAATAAACTAGCCAGGAGATTTGAAGAATATCGAGTTTGAAGAAGGATTAAGGAGGATATGGTGCATTTGTATGAATATCAGAGGATTTGAGGATATCCATGGATCAAGGATTAAGAGGGATATCAGTGGATATGGAGAATTTCGATGAAACAAGGAGGGATCTCAGGGGATATAGATAGATAACTGGATTAAAAGATAAAAAAATTATAGAGATCTTAATATAGCTGTGTGCGGAAAACTATCGAATGCACAATCCCTCGACAGTTATCCAAATTCATATATCTATAGCCCTCTTAATCGCTCCTACTTCAAATTTCCTGATATTACCGTTATCCATCTTTTAATCTTTTGATATCCCTCTTAATCCCAAATCCCTTTTCTGCAAACATTTTGAGAATTTTGGAAAGCTAAGAGCCAGATTTCTTCCATTTTTTACCCCGGAAACGAAATTAGCCATATTTCTTCTTTTAGCGCCGCAGGCGAAAATTCTTTGAATTTTTTTTTCCCAATGGTCAAAAATTTTTTTTCCCAATGAAAAAAAATTTTTTTTTCCCAATGGAAAATTTTTTTTCCCAATGGTCAAAAAAAATTTTTTTATAAAAATATATAAAAGAAAAATGGGAAAATCCCAGTACCGAGAAATCAGTACTACCGAAAAGTACTTGTATTAAATGAGTACCGAAAATCCCAAAATTTTATCAGTACAGTACCAATACCAGTAGTACCGAAAAGTACCGAGTCGGTACTATCGGTATTACCGCGGTTAATTAAAAATTTTGTATTAGATAAAAATTGAAGGAACTTTGGCAATATTCTTAGATTAGTTAATTGGATCAACACACCAAATTAAAACTAAATACATTAACTCAGGGTTCTTATTCGTACTTTTTTGAAAGTATGTACTTTTTTATCAACATTTTTGAAGAAACGAAGAAAGCTGGCTTAAGGACCTCCTAAATTCTCGAAATTTTCGCCTGTGGCGCAAAAAATGGAAGAAATTTGGCTTAAGGACCACCAAAATTCCCAAAATTTTCGCCTGCGGCGCTAAAAAATCAAAAAATATTTTTATTTTGGCGCCTTCGGCACCAAAAATTCGGCGCAGAAAACTTTTCTCCTTGGCCCCTCCCTCCGAAAAAAATTTCTAATTAAATTTGGAGTGTACTTTTTATTTGGAAATTTTGCCCCTATGTACTTTTTTATTAAGATTTTGATACTTTTGATTGGCATTTTGTCGATGAGAACCCTGCATTAACTTAATATCGAGAAAAATGAAAAATCAAATGTCACATACTGAAAGAAATCGAGATAGTAAAGCTTTTATCGATTTGTACTAAAAATATTATTCATTAGATAAATAGAAATAATTTTTAATTTTCACGACAATCCCGCATTTTTCTTTTCGAAATGCTCGCATGTTTTTTCCATACCACAATAAAGCAATTCTCCAGCCTTTTTGACAGCAAACCCACAAGCAGGTGCGAAGATTCCTAAACCTGCAACACACCCAGCTGTTGCAGCTGTAGAACCCACTGTAATTACGCCATCAAGGAAACCTTTGATTCCCTTTCTAATATGATGCTCAAATTGAAGGAGTTGGAGGATATTCTTAATTCTCTTTAGGTGGCCCGATCAGTGTTTGGAAGCTCGTTCCAAAATTCGTACTAACAATAAGTTTACAAGTGCGAGTACGAATACGAAAACAGTACGAATACGAAAAATAAAATAAGGCATGCACGAAAATACGAGAACGAGTACTAGCAAATTTCAAAATTCCAAACACTGTCCCAATATCCTACAAATCCTCATCCCTCCAAATTCTTTAATAACCCGCTTTTTCTCTAATAACTCTTTTTGATCTACAAATCCCTGAATATCTCCACCTCGATATTTTCCCCAAATCCCTTTAATCACTTATTTTCTCTCATAATCCTACTAAATTTCCTAATATCCCTCTTAATCACTTTTTTGGCAGCAAACTTCCTCAAAAATAAAACAATTATCCATACATCTTAGCAGATACTAAAAGTTGTCCATACTAAAAAGTATGGACAATACTAGTAGTTCATACGAAGAAGTATGGACAACTAACGAGAATATCCATGGTGTTTGATAAGAAAAAGCGCCATTGTAAATTATTTTGCAAGAATATTTAATCGCTCCAAATCTTTCTACATATATCGACTTAATCGCCCGAAATCTTACCATTTTCTCGAAAAACTGCATGCCAGTTGCCAATAATGTTAATGGCAAACCGTCACCATAAAATGGCTATGACAAATGACTAATATGTATTGGAATACCCCCTTCAGTTAGATAAAATCATTTTTCAATTTTTTATTTTTATCTATTTCGACGTTTTTTCTATATATGGTTTTCAATTTTCATGACTCTGTAACTCATGTTTCTGACCATGGATTGATTTTAGTGTCATTCATTTTTAGTGGCATAGTGTCATTCGATAACAAATACCGTTTTTATCCAATCCAAGTACATATATCTAATTTGATTAATATTTATTAGAGAAAAACGCTGATGAATGGCTAACGAGATCGGTGGCTCTTTTGCCCTATTTACAGGGCATTTGCCCTATTTTCGACCTTTCCGCCCTATTTTTTCCCTATTTTTGCATTTGCCATAATTTTGCCCTATTTTTACCATTTTGTAAAATTTTTACAATTTTAGAATTTCGTGAATGAAATGGCAGAAAAATAAGAAATCTGGCTTCACGGCCTTCAAAAATTCCTAAAAATTTTCGCCTGCGGCGCAAAACAGGAAGAAATCTGGCTTTTTGGTCTTACAAAACTCTCAAAAATTTTGCCTTCGGCGCTGAAAAAGGAAGAATCTGTGAAGACTTTGTGTGAGATTGAGGGATTGGAAGGTCTTGAGTGGAATATAAGCGGATTTTACTATAGACGATTTAGGAGGATTTACTAGAATTATGGGGTTTGCCTGGATAACGAGGGATTTGTATGATAAAGAGAGATATCAATGAGAGATATCAATGGATTTGAGAGATTAATGGTGCATGCGAGGATTAAGTTGGATAAAAGACTAAGTTGGATATAATGTAATTTATAATAATTAAGGGTATATGAAGGGACATCGGGGGATTGATCCACAAATGCCTCGATATCTCTTTTAATCCCCCAATCCCAGCACTTAATCCACCAAAATTGGACGTAAAAAATACTCGAAGTTTCTAGTACCCCCAAATCCACTGAAATCCCTAGATAACTACAAGTTCCTAACCATTTATCCATCTTAGATAACTTTTTTGATCCTAAATCCCCTAGATATATCCCTCCATTTGCTCAATTTAGTTAAACCTAGTTAAAAAATTTAGAATATACTTTTTAATTGAAATTTCAATTATTTTTAAAATTTTTAAATAATGCCCTCTTTTTGCCCTATTTTTGAGTGGCTGCGCCCTATTTTAGTGTTTTGGAAAGGGCCACCCTGAACGAGATAAAAATGGCTAACGAAAAAAATATTTTGTTGAATTTCAAATTTGATTTTTTATTAATCACATATTAAGAAATATGCAATAGAGTAAAACTTTTATCAAATTCTGCTAAAAATATTATATGTATATTAAATAAATAAATAACTTTAAATTTCACGACAGTCCCGCCTGTTTCTTATCAAGATGCTCGCATGTCTTTTCCATTCCCCAAAATAGCAAATCTCCAGCCTTTTTGACAGCAAACCCACACGCAGGTGCTAAGAATAAAGCTGGAGCACACGCAGCTGTTGCAGCATTGGAACCCCCTTCAATTAATAAATCCATACCAACTTTAAACACCTTCTTAATAACAGATTGTTTTGGGTTTTCCGGGTCGTATTCACTTTCTAGTGAACAATCCTTTTTGATTTTTGCTAGCTTAGCAGCTTTGACCCTTTCCTTCTCAATTTCATCTCTCCAATTTTGTAATTTCAAAACGCGATCTACAGTTTCATTTAACGTTTTCTCTATTTCAATTCTTTTTTCCTTTGTTTGTTTAATTTCAGATTTTCTCCTTTCATTTTCTTGTATCAAATTATTTCTCCAATTCGAAATAGCGACATCCTAAATCTTATTTTTAGTATGTATAATTATTGATATTTTTGGTGAAAATCTTTGTTTTTAATATAAATTTATGAGAAGCTCTCCGCTATTTGCTTCTTTTAAATTGAGGGTAACGGAACCAGCCCCAGAGGGATATTCCGCCATTTTTTATTTTTCTGGCGCCAGAGCTTTTTTAAAGTTCGGAATTTTTCTTAAAATTCTTACACTATTCGAAAGCTCTAAATGTGGCGATTCTTTTTTGCTAAAGCTATCATCCTAACCTGTTTATATATGCTAGACTGTTCATAGAATTAGATGATTACATATTATAATTGAAAAAAAGAAAATAATTATTAAAGGAAATTGGAAGATGATATCGTGAATCAAGCAATCGTGTATTCTGAGATATACATATCTTACAGCTTGTAAATTCTCAAAATTTTAGGCTAATCGACGAAAAAGGAAGAAATCCGGGCCTTCTAAGATTCTAAAACTTTCGCCTGCGGCACTTCTAAATTCCCTAATATCCACTAAAATCGAAGTTAATTTATTCAAACCATCTTTTATAGCCAAATTTGGCAATTTTCCCCCCTCAAATATAAACTTTAAATAATGTGTTGATTTTATTGGCGTTGTGGTGTAGTGGTGAGTGTGCTTGAGTTACCCTTTTTCTCTAAAATTTTTGGTTCTTTTTTTTGGTTTTATTTTTTTATCTAACTTTTTTAAACATTATTTATTCCTTTTTCAACAAATAGATACTCTATATAAAAATGATTGAAACAAAATAATTTGCTCCACCGGGCACATCGAATAAAACTAGCTTCCAATCAATTATGTGTATTACATTCAAAAGGGGACAATAATGGAAAGCAATAACGGATCAGATGATCGCATTCTCTTGGGGAATCTCATCCTCTCCACTCAATTTAACTACATCGTATTTAATAATGGGGCGGAAACTTTCTGCGGAAAACTGACGTGTCAAAGATGTTAATTTTGTGATTTCATTTCTGTTGTGATTTCTGTTGTGATTTCTGTTGTTTTTGTCTTGTTTTAATCATTTTTATATATAGTATTATATTTGTTGAAAAAGGAATAAATAATAGATAAAAAATAAAACCCAAAAAAGAACCAAACTTTTTAGAGAAAAAAGGTAACGCAAGCACACTCACCACTATACCACATCGCCAACAAAATTAACGTATTATTTAAAGTTTATATTTGAGGGGGAAAAATTATGCCAACTTTTGGGACTTTGGAGGGCCATGTCTTGGCCAGAACAAAAAACGGGCTCGACCGTTCTTATGTCGGACACCTGTAACTTTTTATTGTAAGTATAACTATTATTAAAGGGATAATTATTTAAAGTTTGTTAATTTTATTTTGTTCTATCTCCTTTAATTTAATTTTATTAAAATGAAATAAAGATTAAACAATTTAACTAATTAATCGAAATTTTTTTAACTTTTGCAGAATTTGAAATTTAGCATTTTAGATTTATATTTTTTGTTTTTCTAAAAATGTAGTATCGTTAGAACCATAAAATAAGAAGTTCTGGAATCTAAAATACAATTCAGTTCCAGTCCCGACAAAAATTTTGAATTTAAAAATGAAAATATTTTTCAGGAAATACCTGCAAAAAGGCAATTAAATATCTAAATAGCGGAAAAATTTCGGAATACTGAACAGAAAGCAAATGGGTCAAATTATATGTCATTCGAAAGAGCTCGTCGAGTTGAGTCGAATGTTGAAAAAATTTTCGTGCGGACTCATACAGGGGCTGAGATACAGGTCCCCGAAGATCGAAAAACCATAAGGGGGAGTAAGCTCGATTTTGGGGTAAAAAATTCGAATATTCAAATTATACATTATACTCATTTGAAAGAGCTTGACGAGCTGAGTCAAATGACACCAAAATCAGCTCTGTTGAGCAATTTGGACAAAGTTATGACACAAAAAAAACACATAAACCTATGGAGCATAGGCGAGGCGCATGTGCAAAACAAGCGTTTTCGCTACGGTCGCCGCTCGATTCGCTCGCAGCGACCGTAGCGAAGCGGCGGCCGTCGTTCCGCTCAACATGTCCGGCTTCCTCAGCAGCGGCAAAAACTTTTTTCCGCGTTGTCAAATCAATTTAGATTTCGTTGATTTTGGGGTCATTCGACTCAGCTCGACGATCTCTTCCGAATGAGCGATTATTTGCATATTCGAATTTTTTACCCCAAAATCGAGCTTACTCCCCCTTATGGTTTTTCGATCTTCGGGGACCTGTATCTCAGCCCCTGTATGAGTCCGCACGAAAATTTTTTCAACATTCGACTCAACTCGACGAGCTCTTTCGAATGACATATAATTTGACCCATTTGCTTTCTGTTCAGTATTCCGAAATTATACCCTAAATAGCATTAATTAAAAGGGAAAAAATTTTTCAGTTAAAAGTGAAAATTATATTTTTACTTTTCCGTTTATTTATTGTTATTTTTACTTCTTTTTAGTATCTAACCATTCGCATAACTTTGATGCACCTTTTAATGGAGCGTCTCCTAATTTATTAATTGCAAAGCTGCAACTTGAACTTTTTAATTCATTTTTTCCATCACATGCCTTCTTGGCCATTCCGCTTTTTGCTCCAGTTAATTTAGCTGTAGTAAGTTCAGCACCTAATTCCATTGCGTTTCTGGCGAATAACTTTCCCCAAGTTAAGGGTTTTGCAATATCAAATTCCTCATCAAAGGAACAACGTTGCTTTATTTTTGCTTCTCGCTCTTCTTTAGCCCTTGCTTCTATAAACTCATCTCTCCAATTCTCCAATTTTGTCAAGTTTTCCGCAACTTTATTGATTAATTCGTCCATTTTAGCATTATTTATTATTATTTGTTTAATTTCGGCTTTTCTATCTTCATTTTCTTTTTTTGCCCAATCTTTGATTTCCAAAAGCACTTTGTTCTAAAAGATTGCTTTCTTTGACACTCCAAATTATTTTCAGAATTATTCCAGAATAATAAGTTAAACAAAAGAGATAAAGGAGAAATTATTGTTAATAATTTAAGAATAAATTGCTTTCAATTTTTTTCGATTAGGATGAGAATATTTTAGCTAGATAGTATACCGTAAATGCTATATAAGTACCCTGGGTAGTTATGTTTCAACCTCTCTTAATAGAGCGAGGGTAATTATTTGAGAGAGGGCAATTATTATTTCGATCTGTATATTTTTTATTTTATCATAAACATATGAACAGGGATATAAAATATGCTACCGAATGCGGAGATAAATGTTGTCGTTTTACTATTATTCTATACTCCACATTTTCTGTTTTTGCGGATTTTTTTTAAATTTATTCGTATTGGTTTTTTAACATTTTGCGCTAGCTGAAGGAGAGAAATAGCTTTACTTTTTAAACTGTCCTATCTTTTTTCGATCCCAAAAATTGTGAATTGTTTAAAAATTTACGACACATTTTCTTGACGTATTGTCCGGTAACAGACCGATTATCTTTTGATATTTCCGCCTACAACTCCGCGGACATTAATAGAAAAAAAAGAAAAATGGAAAACCGTCCCAAATTTTTTATGTTGATTGAATTAATTAAAATAATTACTTACAAGTCTTTTAACTTCTTTTTCGACCTTAGAAACGCGACTAGCAAGTTCTTCTAATTTTCCTTCAGCGTATTTAATTCTTCGATCATGTGAAAAAGTTTTTCCCCTAATCCAATTAAATGCTGCAATACCATCAAATTCAAGAGATCCATTACACTTCCTGAAAATATTAAAAAATGATCCAAGAAAATGGTAATTTTCGCTCCCATTTCCCCCACGCATTTTGAAAACTTCCTTCCTAAAAATGGGGCCTATTTATTTCTTTCACCTTTCCCTTTTTAAACAAGAAATTCACAATTAAACTTACTATTCAACTTAGATGAAACTTGCATGAAAATTAAACTTACATGAAACCCCATTTATAAAATTCTTTGCAATTTGGTTTGCCATTACCATCAGAACAAATCCAATAATTTCTTACTTTAAGAAAATAAAAGCGCATCTCAAGCTGTTCAGCGCATTCATAATTGCTTAATTTTAAAATTATTAAAAAAAGTCACGGAAGTCCTTTTTTAGCAAAGGATTACTATACAAGGGTTGGGGTCATAAGGGCGCGGGGCCGTTAGGGCGCCAGCACTAGAAACGGACACTTAGGCGAAACCGAAATTTATGAAAATTTTCTCAAATTTCTGTAACATCATTGACTACCTTCTCCAGAAATTTCAGAATTTTTCATCGAATATTTCTCATGTTATAGTCGATAAACCGCGAAAAATTAGGGTTTTTTCGTAAAAATAACATTTTTGACCACAATTTCCGAAATTCTTGATCAGAAATTCTCAAATTTTTGGAGAACGTAGATAAAGGCATGAGAGTTATTATTGCAAAATTTTATCTTTTTTGATAAGCAACTCACTGTTTTATAAGCTCGCGCCCTAATGGCCCAGTCCCCTATACAAGGGTAATTTATAAAGCTTATATCCAAAGTTTTTCTTGATCTATGTATGTTTTATGAAAAAATAATCCAATTTTTTAAATAATTTTATATTTAAAAACACGTAGGAGACGATTTTCATTTAAACAAGGAATTTTACTTATTTCTACGTAAGAATCCCATAATTTCGTTAGATGAACTTTCCTGATGAAAAAAATTATCCGTGCAATAGAAAGTTAATTTTTTTAATTATTATATAAAATAGTAATTTTTCATTACTTATATTACATATATATAGAAGAAATATGGTAGTATAATGGTCCAAACAAGATATAAAGGGGGATTTGAGGAAGGAATGGAAATTTTCACGTTTGGAAGTCCAACTGATTTTGACGGCAGTTATAATTAATTAAAATTAAAAAATAACCTAATAGAATGGTTATTTATGTTGGCATTGACGTCTTCAGAGGTCCATGGATGAAAAGATTTTTGGGGACTATAAGTGCACTTCTTTATTGTTTCGCAAAGACTTAAATAAAAATATAATATAACATTTATAATATTTTAATCGGGGATTAATGTGTTAAATTGTTGGGATTTTTTAGAAAATTTATGCTCTTACCATAGCTGGCAACGACTGTTTTAAAAAATTTTTGCCTTTTTTAAGAATTCCAGAGAATGGAAAATTTATAGAGATTCCCTCTGAAATAATACTTGGCTTTAGCTAAATATCCTAACGAAAACCAGTAGATAGCATTTAAAAGTCATGTGAGAATTCCTAGCATTAAAAGATACCGAATTTTCTCTAAAATAGCCCCCGGGGGTTATTTTTTTCAATCGACCTTTAGAGGGGGGCTATTTTAGAGAGGGGGGGGGGGTTATTTTAGAGGGGGGGGGGTATTTTAGAGGGGGGGGTATTTTTTTCGATGCCTAAATTTTTTGAAAACTAAAATTTTTTACTAAATTTTGAATAATATTTTTCTAAAATTTAATAGAATTCATCATGAACTAAAAGTCTCTTAACGGAAATCATAGTCCAAAAACTTCCATCAAGTACTCCTCAGCAGTGATGTCAAAGTTCCAGTTCCGGAACTAATTAGTTCCAGTTCCAGAACTAGAACTACGGAACTAACGATTATCTGGAACTAGTTTGGAACTAGAACCTACGGAACTAGTAAATGCCTGGAACTAGCTTGGAACAGGAACTAGTAAATGTCTGGAACTAACTTTGGAACTAGTTCTGGAACTAGTTTTATATTTTTGACAAAATTTCCTCGAAAATTACCTGCAGCGCGCTGAGTATGGAAGAAATCTGGCTGCTTGAACTCCAAAATTCTCAAAATTTTCGCCTGCGGCGCTTAAAAAGTGTATTTTTTCAGCCTCTTAATCCTCCAGTTTACCCTTAAATCCTCCGTTATCACCTCTTACCACTCATAATTCTCGAGTGTCAAGTGTTCCGTGCGGGCATCCGTGCGTGCGTCTGTGTCAAGTCCACCCTCCTACAATGACATCCGTGTCAAGTGTTGAGTGTTTTAACAAAAAACACTTGTCACTCAACACGAGAGTACCTGGTGCAGACTGCATAAGAAACCAATCGACACGGACGACTATCAAGTGACGAGTAGTACGTATCCTTCCTACATTGAAATAAAAAAGGCACTTATTTGTTAAAATTGATAAATCCTTTCATATTCAAAAATTTAAAAATTTGGAACTAGAACTAGCTTGGAACTAGTTCTAGAACTGAAACTGGAACTAAGGAATTTCAAAAATGGAGTTCCGGAACTGGAACTAGAACTACAAAAATTAAAAACCTGGTTCCGTATCTGGAACTTCAAAAATTAAAAACCTAGTTCTGGAACTGGAACTAGTTCCAGAGAAATTCTGGAACTTTGACATCACTGCTCCTCAGTCCTTAAATTCATCCAAGACTCCGTTTAAGGTTCAGGATACATGATTAAGAATTAATTTTAGATTATTATCCCACTTGTATACATCTCAGTTAAGTCCCTAAAGTCTAATAATATTAAAAGGGGTTGGATTAATATGCCTATCTTGGCATTTTTAGGTATTAAAGTCAATGTGACATGACTAATCCTTCATCGAGAGATCAAGTGGATGGAATTAGTGAAGATAGACATCGTTGAGTATTAGTAGATTTTAAGGGATTGAGGAATCCATATTAATCCACAGCTATCCCTTAATCCATCATAATCCCCATATATCCCTTCAAATTCTCGATATCCCCCATAATCATTTCTAATTTTATTAAAATGAATGGAATTTATTGAATGGATTATATTGAATGGATTAAATTTATTGAATGGATTAAACATTGCTGTGCTTTGAAAATTATCAATGCCAAAAAATAATTAAATATTTTATGGGGAGAGGCTATTTTAGAGGAGGGGGGGGGGTATTTTTTTCGATCGACTTCTAGAGGGGGGCTATTTTAGAGGGGGGGGTTATTTTAGAGAAAATACGGTATATGAACTTTACTTTTCATCTTGGTCAAAATTTGCTTAAGAAAAATTGTAAACATTGTTTAAAGGTCAAAAGCCCGATATAGTCAGATATTAACTGATGAGATTAATGATTTTTACACGAAAAATAGATTTTATTAAGACTTACATATCACCGTCTCGATCTATTGGGACATAGTCGTGTGTGCATCTGAAATGACATTTACATTAGCGATGAGATTTACATTATCTTTCCCTATCTATAATTTTTGGTTGGTCAGTATTTCGATTTACGATTCTCGAATTAACATATTTTTTATTTTCGTCAGAATGAACATTCACAAGTACTTTAAAAAACTGGACAGAAAACATGTGTAAGTAGTTTTAGAGCCATAAGTTATATTAGAAAGTTCAGGCTTTTGATCTACGCAGATGGTTCCACATAGAACAAAGATAAAATATTTTTTACTTACAGCGGATAAAATGAAGTCTCGCATGTGTATTTACACGAGTAGCCTTCTTTATTTTTACACCAGTCCTTACATCCAACACACGGGAATGGATGTTTGACAGAAGGCTTCAAGTTCAGTGTCCATGGGACCTGAAAATAACAAATATAAGATAAACTACAATATGATATTTTGGTCTGTCACATTTTACTTGAAATCCCAAAATTAATTTAAAGTTTAATATTTTTAAAATATTTTTTCTAAATGAGATTTTTCAAATTAATCAATTTTGTAAAAAATAAAATAAAAATACCATTTGATCCAGACCGGGAAAAAGTTCTTTGTATTCGTATCGTGTTTGAGTTAAATCCGATGAAATTTTGCAATTCCTTTAAAAATAATTTTTGAAAAATAGTAAAAAGTAATTGGAATAAACAGGGATCAATTATGGTTATAAGGAAAAATTAAAAGCATGTTTTACAGGTAATAAATAACATAAGATTAGGATTGTTATGCATGGAAATCGTATTAAAATGCAAAAATTTCACTTATT